GATGGATGGATGGAAATATGGATGGATAGATTGGAAGATAACAGATGCATGGAAACACCGATAGATGGATGGGTGGATGGATGAATGGATGGATGGAAACATGGATGGATGGGAAAGTAGATGGATGGGAAGATGATGGATAGAAACATGCATGGATGGGTAGGTGGATGGATAGGTGGGTGGATGGATGCATGGGTGGATGGATAGATGGATGGGAAGATGATGGATGGGTGGGTGGAGGATGGATGAATGGGGGATGGATGGATTGGTGGATGGTTGGATGGGTAGGTGGATAGATGGGAAGGTGGATGGATAGATTCAAAGATGGATAGATGGGTGGGTGGATGGATGGGTGGGTGAATGGATGGGAAGATGGATGGATGGGTGGGTGGATGGATAGATGCATGGGTGGGTAGATGGATGGGTGGGCAGATGGATGGGAAGGTAGATGGATAGATGTAAAGATGGATAGATGGGTGGGTGGATGGATGGGAAGGTGGATGGATAGATGGATGGGAAGATGATGGATGGACGGGTGGGTGGATGGATGGATGGATTAATGGGTGGGTAGATGGATGGGTGGGCGGATGGATGGGAAAATGATGGATAGATGGATGGGAAGATGATGGATGGGTGGATGGATGGGATGGATGGATGGATGGGTGGATGGCTGGATGGATGAAAAGATGGATTGTTGGGTGGATAGGTGGATGGATGGAAAGATAGATGGATGAAAAAAGGATAGAGAGAAAGTGACGCCACATTGTGGGGTCGTCCTTCCATGGAAGGCAGGAGTACCCTGAAGGCCCTTGGTAAATAACTAAATTATACATCAGCTTTTCTTTTGTAGAGAGATATTTTATTTTCCTTTATAACAAACTCCTAGGTTACTTGCTGGCTTTCAAAGTCACACTGTACGCCCTAGATAAATAAAATCAAGTTGTGCCTAAATGTTATTAAAATGAAGGATTAATAATTTGGAAATGGAACATTAAAGCTGAAACAGTGCTCGGAGATCATCCATTCCTGCAGATTCTTGCCAGGGGGTTGGCCAGTGGCCTGACTGTGGGTGGGTGGCAGGCAGGTCCAGCAGGTGCACATTCACGCCCACCTGCGGGGGGGGGAGTGGCGCACACATGAGCATGATTGAGTGCACATGTGGGAACGTACCTGTCAATTAGAGGCGATCGCAGCAACTCCAGAGAAACCCGTGAATCACCGTGCAGGCCGTGGGGTCACAGCTCGGCAGCTGCAGCTCTGCTGTCCTGAGCCCTGACGGTGAGCTGCCTCCCTGCAATTCCAGCTGCTATGGTGCTCTTGAGCTCTGTGTCCTGTGACCACCTTGCTGGGGCACTTTGTGAACATGCCTTCCTTTCTGTCTTTAAAACACCAGACGATGCAGTTTCAAGGGAAACTAAAATTCCTGTTTGGACAGAAGAAGAAGGCGCCCTCGGGGGCGGTGCTCCCACCGCGGCTGTCGCTGTTCTGCGTTGCGGCCCCAGTTCTCCTCCCCTCCGCAACGGAGATGAAAATGAGGAGTGCGCTTCTGAGGGCCAAGCCCAGGGCTGACTCTGCGGCGCCCATGGATGCAAAGTGAGTAAGACTCGCCCTTCACAGCCACGTGGGTGTCTTCTTTCTTCATTTCCAGCCAGTAATAAAATAACAAGTGTTCTGTTTTTAAAGTCATTACACGACCCAGGCAGCAACGATGAGATTAAATGTTTTCATACTCGTATTTGCAAACTGGCACCAAACGTTGCCTGTTTTGATTCATTCCCAAATCGCCGTTACGGAACCAGTTTCAGAATAAGCGCCCTGACCCTGTGTCCTCAAGGGGACGGAAGGTTGGCTGTGGCCTCTGCCTTTCTCCACTGCTCAGCTGCCGCTTCTTCGCACAGTCTGTCCAGGACAAGCAGAGGTTGTTCCTGGCTGCAAGAGATACCAGATAAATATGTCCCTGGTGGGCAGACGGAGGGTCAGTGGCACAGTTGCCCCTCCAGCTTGTCCTCGTCCCTGGCCAACCCAGTCCTACCCAGTGCTTTCTCAGCCTTTCCAAAATAGAAAACACCCGATTGGTCCTCCACCTTGTTGGTGCTAGGGACCAGTTTCGTGGAAGACAATTTTTCCATGGACTGGGAGTAGGGGGATTGTTTCAGGATGATTCAAGCACATTTACTTTCTATGCATTTTATTACTGTTTTTGTTACATTGTAATATATAGTGAAATAATTATACAGCTCAGCGTAATGTAGAATCAGTGGGAGTCCCGAGCTTGTTTTCCTGCACCTAGGTGGTCCAGTTAGGGGGGAGGTGATGAGAGACGGTGACAGATCATCAGGCATTACATTTTCATAAAGAGCTTGAAACCTGGGGCCCGCCCATGCGCAGTTCACGGTAGGGTTCAAGCTCCTGTGGGAATCTAATGCCTCGGCTGAGCTGACGGGAGGCAGTGCCCTGGCCCACCGCTCACCTCCTGCTGTGCAGCTTGTCTCCTGGAGGCCACGGATGGTACCAATCTGTGTCATGGGCGTTGGGGACCCCTGCCCTAGGGGATTCGTGCCTGTAGTTTCCTAGATTGCGTTAAGGCTGTCTTGTGTGCTGGGAGAGATGTAAATGCCGTGTATATAGAAACTGTGTATCCCACCTGTAGGGAAGACACCAGTGACGTGGGGCTGGGGCAGCCGGGATGCCAGAGACCCGACTTCAGCTCAGTCGGGTCTGACAGTCACTGCTCCTGTCACTGCTCCCTCCTGGGACAGCCTGATGGGGGTGGGGCTGAGTGCAGGGCAGAGGGGTGGTCCTGGCTGGCCCTGCACCCTGGCCCTCAGCTCCCTGAGGCCCTTGGCTGCTGGCCAGGTGCTCCTGCTCTGTGACTGAGACACCTGGCTTGTCCTCTTCAGCCTCTCAGCACGGCACCCAGGCCTGGTAACGAAGACACCCAACTTATCCTCCTCCACCCCTCTGTGCTGCGATCCTGCAGCTGCTCTTGGGCAGCCCACTTTGTTCATGGCCTCCCCGCTCTGTGGGCAGCAAATACTGAGCAGGAAGGAAATCTTAGCTCCGCATCCCAGTGGGAATCTCTGCCATAGCACCCAGGAGTGATCGGCTGAGGCTGCACAAACCCCCACACACAAAACATTGCTGGGTTCAGACAGAGCCTCGAGAGCAGATTCATCCTGGTGTGATTTGAATCTCATTGCCTGGCACTGGCACCGTCCTATCTTGGCCGAGTGCGCTCTGCTCTGTTTACCTTGCCCCCGGTTCTGGTTTCCAGATATTTCCTAATTTCTACGCTTCTCCTCTGTGCATGGCCAGCGCTGGGGGCACGTTTGCAGTAGGGGGAGCAGTGTGGACTGCGGGAGACGTCCCCACCCTGTTTTGAGAGTTGCCTTTATTGATGCGCCAGCTGCCGCAGGCACCTTAGGGCGATTCTAAGTTGCAGTGATGTGGGTTGCCTTGTAGTCTGACTTTGGATTCTACCTGCGTTCCTTAACTTTTGTTAGCATTAAATTTCATTCTTTTAGATGCAATCTTGATTGACCTTGTCAGAATCCAGGCTCCTGAGCATTTGAGATCTGGGGTTCAGCAGCACCCACCACACTGCTGTCCCTCCCGTTCCTGGCACCTTTGGCAGGCCAGTTCGCCCTCTGTATTCACACCTGTGCCTTCTGTGGGAACGCCAGGACCTGCTGCTGAGCCCCTCTGCCCATCAGATCCCAGAGATTCTGGGAGACCCCATCACACACCTGCTGACTTCCAGATGCAGAGGATGTGGCTGGGGGCCCTTTCACCCCAAGGGGCTGCAGAGGAGGACCTTGGAGGCTCTGGGACCCCTGCTCAGTGTCCAGGGCTGACCGAAGGCCCCAAGGGCACCTTGCCAGCACTCACAGCACTCTCCGCTGTGGGCGTGACTTCCATCCTCACCTTTGGCCTCTTTAAGATAACCATTTACACAGCTCTCCAGCCTGGCGGCAGCAGCAGCAATTTGAAGGCTTTCAATGCCGTGTTGGTTTCCGCCTTCGTTACTCATTTCTGCTCATGAGCGGCCTCTGCCTGGGCCCTGACAGCCCCACCTCACTGCTGCTGTCTGAGGGAGGACAGAGGGCAGCTTCGGGGACGGCCGGGACACGAGCCAGCCTGCCGAGGCCCACAGATCTCTGGAAGGTTTTTTGTTGTTTGTTTTGAGATGGAGTCTTGCTGTGTAGTCCAGGCTGGAGGTGCAGTGGCACAATCTCGGCTCACTGCAACCTTCGCCTCCTGGGTTCAAGTGATTCTCCTGTCTTAGCCTCCCGAATAGCTGGGACTCTAGGTGCATGCCACCACACCTGGCTAATTTTTTGGATTTTCAGTAGAAATGGGGTTTTATCATGTTATCCAGGATGGTCCTGATCTCCTGACTTCATGATCTACCTGCCTCAGCCTCCCAAAGTGCTGAGACTACAGGCATGAGCCACCACACGTGGCCTCTGGAAGGTTTTCAATTAAGTTTATGTAACTTCTTAAAGGATGGAAATGTAAAGTGCAGGGGAGAAACACAGAATTCTAAAGGGAAAAGAAGTGAATGCGACACCGACACACAGAAAGCCCGGGGTCCCCGCAGGGCTCTGGCCCAGGTCCTCCTGCACCTGCAGCAACCACACAAATCCTGGACCGCTGTTTACCTGGCTTGGTCTTTCTTTATATCGAAGGTGCACACTGCGAGCCTGGTCTTCCCTGTGAGTTCCCAGCCCTAGAAGCAGACGGGACGAAGCCCCCTGGTGTCAGAGCCGGGCAGGGCAGGCCTGGCCCCACCGCACCTTGCATGCCCACAGCCCTGTTCTGGTCGTCCCGGGGTGGAGCGCAGGTGTGCAGTCACAAGCACAGGTGTGGGGCCGCGGGTCACAGCTCTCTTCCGGCGGCCTGGACTCCCAGCCCCCTGTGGGGTCATGAGGGCGGGGTGGAGCGCAAGGCACATAGAGCTGGCACACAACTTCAGCTCGACACACACGTTATTAAAACTCAGAAGGGAGAAGAAAACTTGCCAAGCCAAGAATGCTGACTCCCACCCACCCAAGGCTTCTGGAATTCTCACCACCGTGCTCCGAGCTGGATTCAGAAGCCAGCTTCCAGGATACACCCTGCGGTCCGCCAGCCCTCAGCACCACAGTGGTATAAGATGCAAGGTGCACGCCGCAGAACCAGAGCCCCGAGGCAGTGGCAGCAGCCGCCGTGGCCCCCTATGACCTCTGGTGGCCCCCAGCAGCCACCCAGTCTCCCACAGCTTTTCCCACAGGGGTTTTGTGACATGATCTTGATCCTGCTGTTCCTGAAGCCCATTCTGTGAATTCCTCTGCTCACTGTAATTCACCGGGACCCCACATCAACACACCCTGTGCCTTGCAGCCATACACTGACACACATGGGGCACGGTGAGTCTTGTGCTGGACACGGCTCCTGCCCAGACTTTGGTCCTGGCTCTCCTGGAGGTGCCCAGAGTACAGAGAGAAGGGCAGCTCGTGGGCGTGGCCGGGGGGCCAGTCAGTTGGGCTTGAACCCAACTCTGGCACCCGCTGGTGGGGCAGCGCCACTTGACGCTTCTCTTTTGAAAAACAAAAGGAAATAGAATGTACCAGGGTGAGCTGTTAGGATTTCAGATTCGGATCACCGTGATGTGTATGAGGGCACACACACATTTCCAACGTGAGCTGGTCCTCACAACCTCAGTGTTCACTTCCTAGAGCACAACTACCTGGAGTCAGGAGACTGGACTGCATTTTCTTTCTGGCCTTCCAGGAAACGACATCAGCTCTAAAAATCATCTATGACTTTATCCTTGTACTTTCTGAAGCAAATTCATGAGCCCTTCATTGGCCTGAAAAGTGACATGATTTTCAGTAAATCTATAACTGAGAAAATAACTTTCCAGGCTATAAAGAATTAAACAAGAGTGAGTTATTTCTGTCTTCACCGCTTGGGTGTGACAGCAATACCTGTCATTATTAATTTCTACCTTCGATGCATGTTTAATCCACACATCATCTTGCTGTTATCTGTGTTCTTCACAGAGTAAAAGCCACCACGAGTCTGTGCGAATCGGAACTGCATGGAAAACCCAGTTACTCAGCAGGTACTTAGAACATTTCTGTCTGATCTTTTCCACATGGGTAAAATGTGTTTCTGCTTCTTGGAGAGCTTCCCTGCCCGGTGGAGTTGTGACATATTCCATGGAAAAGCCATTTTGCAGACTCGATGTCTGTCCTGCTGTGGACAAGCACTGGTCCTGGGCTCTGATGTGTGCATTTCTAAGCAGCCCAATGGGTCCTGCCTTGCTGAGAACATGCAGCGGTCGTCCAGGAGCTCCTCAGCTCACACGGTGACGGCCTCCCCCCCCAAACCCCAACAGGAAGGAGCAGCAGAGAAAGCAGCATTTTGGTGCTCAGGGAACAGACTGACACTGGCCGATGGGCACAGGTTCCCACCAGAGCCCCATGCCTGTGCCTCCGGGGCAACCCTGACCTTGTCCTCGACCCCAAGGGGACCTCAAGGTAAGTGGTGCTAGGCAGCACCCCCCCAGGCCCGGCAGCTTCCTAGGTCACTGTGGAGGCCCAAAGTAAGGGGGTGGGAAGACTGATTACAAAGGGAAAAAGATGATGGCAGCCTTGACCACCATGCGAGCCACAGCTGACCCTGCTCCCTGTGGAGCTGTGCACACAGCTTCCCGGCTGGAAGTCATGCGTGTCGCTGGGGACTGACCCCAGGGAGCAGTAGTCCAGGGATGTTGGGGCTGAGGATGCCCCGTGGGCTCTGGCCGAGCTGCCCGGGCTCTGGGACCAGCCCTCACCTGTCGCCTAGAACCTGGGTCACCCGGCTCCATCCTGAGCTTGCCTTTGCTCAGTCCTGTCTCCTCCCCCTCCCTCTCCAGGGCCTGCCTGCTGCCCAGGTGGGCCTCCCCCCTTTCCTGACCAGCCCAGCTGTGCACCGCAGGCCCCTCCCCACCTTCCAGGTCACTGTCTCACAGTCACACAGTGCCAGTCCTAATGTCATGCAGCGTCCAGTTGGTCAGCAACAGAGCCTGGCCACAGAAACTGCTGGACACGGTGCTTTCTGCTTTGCAGTTCCATGGGGCCATTTGCACAGCCCCCTCCCCCCCTCAGAGCTACTGACTGGTGCGGCTGACACCGCACAGGCGGCCTAGGCCTCACAGGGACCCCTCCCTGAAGCCTGTGCCCTTCCCCACCCTGGGCCCTCCTCACTCTCCCCAGGCACATGGAGCAGGGGTGGGGGGTGCTGGCACGGCCTCCTGGGCTGCTGGGTGGGTTAGAGGGGATGGTGCGGTGTGGGGTCGCTGTAGCAGCCCCAGCAGATTTGGCATCGTCCTAATGTAGTAGCCTCCCTTGGAGACCCCCACCCAAGGTGGCCAGACCTAGTATTTTCAGCCACTGTCAAATGGGCATCTTTTCTCTGCAGGGACAGGGAGGAGGAGCAGCAGAGGGTGCTGAGCAGGGCCTCTGGAGCTACAGGGCGGAGGGAGACGCCGGGACCAGCAAAGCCCCTGCCCTGGACGGCAGGAAGGCGCAGTGAGGATGGTGCCCGGCCGAAGCTGCAGCCCAGCCAGAGTGGCCTACTCTCCCTGCGCCCCACATCCCACGGCTCCTGCCTGCCCTACCCGTGTGTCCAGGGCACTTTCAATGCCAGTGGCTCGGGCACATTCAGGAACTTGCCCATCTCTCAGCCACCGAGCCCGTCCCCCAGTGCCCACGCCATCCGGACCAGCAGAGCCTCACGGGATGTCAGTGAGGACCAGGTGCACCCTCCCCTCTGCCACTTTGCCCAGGGGAGCTTGCAGCACCCTCAGCCTGAAGCTCAGCGTTTGGCCTCGAGGGGCTATCCCACAGAGGACATGAAGCTTCGAGGCGTGCAGATGCCTCCGGGGGGCCTGTGCCGCCCGACGCTGCTGCTAGATGTGCCCATCAAGATGGAGAAGGACTCTGGGTCTGAAGGTGCTGCCCATGGCTGCGTGCCCAGCCAGGTGTGGGGACTGGAGGCCGGGGACAGGAGCCGTCCGGTCACCTTCCCTACCAGGATGCCCCTGAAGACAGAGCCAGACTCCCTGCACCAGGTCTACACTGCACGCCTTGGGCATGGCGTGCTGGGGGCTCAGCCCCAGGGCAGGGCCACTGCAGGGCGCAGCAGGGAGCTGGCCCCTTTCCACCCTGCGCACTGCACGCGCCTGGAACCCACGCACAGCCTTCCCCAGCTGGAGCCTCCCCACCAGCTCTGCACGCGGGGCCGAGGCGAATCATCCTCTCTGCCGCACTGCGCCTGCAGAGCTGCTGAGGCCGCCCCTGTGGTCAAGCGCGAGCCGCTGGACTCACCCCAGTGGGCCACTTACAGCCAGGGAAGGGTGCCTGGGATGTTTCCCAAAAGTGCCTTGGCGATGCTGGTCCCACCCCAAGCCTCAGAGTGCACATTCCTGCCATAGCGCGGTGACCGCCGTCCAAGCTCAGATGCGCCAGTGGCTGGGCTGCCCCCTGCACCTGGTCAGGCCAGAGACCTTCCTAAAAAATGCTCTTCAGAGCTGCACATGCGCAGTCCCCTCGTCTGTGTGCAGCGTACGCAGCAGCGTATCCCAAATTTTATAAAATATCTCAGCCATTCTTAAATGCGAACTGGCCTTAAGTCTACTCAGGCGTGACAGCATTTCTCTTTGAGGAATTAAAATCTTTAATAAAGCGATCACGGCTGGACAGCGTCATGCCCGAGCGGCAGGGAGCACCGTCCCACTGCTGCCAAGTCCACAGTCAGGGAAGCTGTGGGGGGGCGCTTCTAGCTCGGTCCTCTCTGACCACCTGCAGCTTCCGGCCTGTGCTATGCAGGCAGTGTCAGCCCGTCGCTGCAGTGCACTGCAGAGGCCAGCACCCGGCAAATTAGAAATACACCTCGCGGAAAAAGGGGCTGTGAGCCCACTCATGGAGGAATCTAGAATGCTCCAGGCAGCAGAGGCTGGCAGTGCTGGGTCCCACACTGCCCCACGTTGTGCGGCAGGTGCTCCGTGGCACCAGGACAGAGACTGAGGCCAGGTGTGGACTAGAAATGGACAGGGTAACACCTGTGCCTTCTGGACATCTCCCGTGTTCTTAGTGGGTCTCTGCGGATGGTCTTACTAATCTGCCTCTTGGTACATCATGTAATACAGAGTTCACAGACCTGAGTCTGGAAGTACGAAGAAACACACAATGTAGAGAAAAGACATAGGTGACTGCGCTGTCTGTGGGGTTTTTCTCCCTGTCTGGCTGTCTCTATACTTCACTCAGATGAGGGTTCCCACGGCCATTCTTGGAGAATAATTACGGACAAGTATTAATAGCATTAAAACAGCTATAAAGGCAATATATTCTGAGGATAGGAAATCTGGATACAAAAGCAGTCAGAAAGTGAAGGTCACCGGTCCACCAGCCTGAGATAAATTACAGCTGATGGTACAGTTCAGGCTTCTTCCACGCTGCACCCCGCTGGTACAGGCATCATATCAGGGTGTAGAAGTCGCCACCAAGCAGGAGGAAGCCGTGGCACGAGGCCCCTCTCCTCAGGGACGTCAGCTCCACTGGGAAAGCCCTCGGGGTAAGGGACCCACCATCCCATCGCACTGCGCATTCTGCCTCCTGCGTGGACTCCCCCTCTTGTTGGTGGCTTTAGAGTGTCAGTGTTTAGCCCCTGGTTTAATGGTGAAGCCATTTGTTAAATGCACCTTCACTTTGTCAAAACCCAGGTTTGGTTGGTGGGACTGGGTTTTCTGCCCATTGCCAGTTACCTGCACCCCTCAGCAGCCTGGTTCTGGGAGAGTTTGCCCCCACGTGGCAGGGATAGGGATAAGACTCTCTTCCCAGAACTGAAAGAGGAAGGCCAACCACTGGAGCCCAGAGTCACAGATCCAACATGGTCTCCTGTGACTCCCAAGCCCTGCCAAGGGGCCACTCTGCTTAGCCACAGGGTGCCTTTTGAAAGGTGACCTTGGTGCTGTGCTGTTGTGGGCATGAGATGTGCTCATGGCATTCCACTTCCATCTCTCCCTTACCTGATGCCTAGACTCACAATGGGGACAGAGCTACCCAGGGGCCAGCCATAGGGTGACCAGCCACCTGAGGGCCAGTCACCTGTCAGGATCAGGCACCCATGAGGACCCCATGTGAGGACCAGCCCCTACTTCCCACCTTGGCCCCTCACTGCACAGAGCCCTCTTTATTCATTTCTCATACTGAGCATGGCACACCTCTGGTCTCTGGGCATTTATGGCTTTAAGACCAGGATGGTATTTCAGAAGCTTCCCACTTCCTTCCTATTCTAACCAAGTGCCCAATTCTTTTCCTGATCATGAAAAGACCCTTAATAATTAGACCCGCAGGCCAGGCGCAGTGCTTCATGCCTATAATCCCAGCACTTTGAGAGGCTGAGGTGGGAGGATCACTTAAGCTCAGGAGTTCAGGACCAGCCTGGGCAACATAGCAATAACTTGTCTCACAAAAAATAATTAAAAATCAGATGTGCCATATCCCTGAAAACGTATCGATCAACACGCATGTTCCACTCCTGGGTTCCCTGTCCTGAGGGCTGGAGCTCAACCCTCAGCAGCTCCCTTCAGCCCGGGTGCTGCCTGGGTCCCAAGTGGCAGCTGCCCTTCCAGTCTCAGGGCTGAGGTGGGCAGGGAGCTCAGTGACTGACAGTCTTGCATGTGTATCACAGGGCTCGAGTGTCCTGGAACCAATGGCTGTCACCGGGCGAAACACCAGGCCCCAAAGATGGAATCAGACGTGGCTTTGCATTTGCCGACTGTAGCCAGGGCCCTCAGTGCTGTCAGAGCAGCACAGACGGCAGCCCCTGCCCAGGAGGCTCCTTCACCACGTCCTGCCTTGCACCTCCCAGACCTTCAGACACAACCCCATCCAAGGCCCTCCCGGTGACAGATTGCATAGCCATGGCTGCTGTGCAGCCCATGCTGTGTTGACGCTGCGCTCTGCACACAGGCGTCAGCTCTGTAGGTTTTGTGGTGTGGGTACCCCACAGGAGGCTATGGCTCTGAGTGCCTGGGGCCAGCAGGGTGTCCAACGTCCCTTCCTCAGTGGCAACAAAAACTCCCCGTCAGCACTTTTGTTATTTTATAGCCACATCCCTCTTGGAAAACTGGGGAAGATAATAGAACACAGAAGGTACGGGTGTGGTCATTTCTCTTGTTGGCGCTCATCACAGGTTCATGTTTTTCTGTTTACGTAGCTTTTGCCTACAGCTGAAAAAGTTTTAAAGTCAAGTGTAATGTGGGAATGGGATGGAAGGGAGGTGACAAATACAGCTTATATTTTATATTGTCGCAGTTTCTACTGGAAGAAAAAAGTTTTCAATACCTAGACTAACTTGTTGAATTTTTAAAACTTTTGCACTATAAATGCAGCTTTCTCTACTGCTTTCTCAGTGCCTTTAGGAAGCTTTCAAATACTTTTTGTACTGTGGTTTGTATTAAATATCAATATTGATATAAAATATATGACATGCTAGTACATGTTTAACATACTGAAATGTCTGCATTTTCCTAATGAAGTCACTTTATTTCCTTTAAAGGGTGTGCTGGTTAATTTACATTCTAAAGCAGCCTTTCACCACTAAATAGAAGGCAGCAATAAAAATAAAAACTCTAGAGCTACAAGCCTCCTGAAGGAGGAGGAAGTGCCTGCCGTTTCCCTGCTGCCGCCCAGTGGCACTGCTTCTAGAGACGGTCTGGGCCCCTCTTCCCTGTCACTGAGGGTTAGGGACCCTACCAGGTGCTCTCGGGACGCCCCAGACCTGACCCGTGAAGTGAGGAAGGTAGGGCTGAGGGCATTGTGGGTCGGGGCCAGGTGGCGCCCACCCTGCCTGGGACAGGGCCTGCATGACAGGCCCATGGGAAGGGGGTGAGGGGTCACTGGCCCAGGCAAATTGTGGCCAGACACCCCCCCTGCTCCCCCAATGCCATCAAAAAAGTGCTGGGGCCTCCTCAAGCACAGATGGCAGCCCAAGGCCCAGGGAACTGAGCTTCTGTTTCCTCTCAGGCACCTTCAGAGAGTCCTAGCAGCCCCTGCCAGGCCTCCTTTGCACCTGCAGCTGGTCAGCAAACCTGTCCCGGTCACTGGTGTAAGACTCCCACGTCCTCCCTGGGGACCAGGCCAGCCCTCCCATCTGTGGCTCCATACCCTCCCCCCATGCCCTCTCCTCAGGCAGACGGAATTCCCACATTTTCACTCCTCACCCCCAGTCTGGCTTCTGCTGAGTGAGCCTGTGTGGAGTTAGGATGAACACAATTTTTATTTTTTATTTTTTTTGAGATGGAGTATCACTCAGTCGCCCAGACTGGAGTACAGTGGTATGATCTTGGCTCACTGCAGCCTCCACCTCCCAGGTTCAAGTGATTCTCCCACCTCAGCCTCTAGAGTAGCTGAGACTATAGGCATCCACCACCACGTCCAGATAATTTTTGTATTTTTAGTAAAGGCTGGGTTTCACCATGTCGGCCAGGCTGGTCTCAAACTCCTGGCCTCATGTGATCAGCCCACCTCAGCCTCCCAAAGTGCTGGAATCATAGATGGGAGCCTAATTGCTGGACACATGCAATTTCATCTCACTAGGCGCTGCCCAGAAGAGGGGCTTCATCCACTTGGTCTCCCTCCTTCCTCTCTATCTCCCAGGCTGCGACCCTACCCAGCCCTGGCACCTGTGTCGACAGACATTTTCAGTCTTGGGCTTCTGAAGGGATGAAACGGCAGTTTTATGTGTGTTTTGTTCATTCAGGAATTTTTAATACCTGTTAAATATCAGGCCCTGTGCCAGTGCTGGGGATACATTCAGGAGAAAACACGTGCAAACGTCAGTGGTGTCCCAGAGCTGGTGTCTGCAGGTGTGTGCTGTGCGGTGTGTGCAAGGAGAAGGGGTGCAGGCAGCTGAACGTAACCATGAGAACCCTGTCAACTCTGTGACGCAGGGAGGGACTTTGCAGGTGCACAGAGCTGGGGTTGGGAGTGCCCCAGGTCTTTGGGGCAGTTTTATGCGGGACATATGGAGGGCTGGAGCTGAACGGCGGGTGTGGGAGGCAGCACTGCCACCGTGAGATCTGAGTGACAACACAGCAGGGCGTGGGTGGAGACACCTTGGTCGTGGCTCAAAGGCTTGAGCTGAGCCCCGTGAGGGGGGTGCGGGGACAAGGTCTCCCTCAGGAAGGCCAAGGGAGGCAGCTCATTCCCCGGAGCCAAAGGCTCTTGTCTTTACCCATTTCTTGCTGCACTTGTTTGCCCTTTTGGATTAATTGGCAGGAGTTCCGTTTCTATTCTGGGTAGCAATCTTTTGTCGGTTACAGGTGTTGACAAGGTTTTCCCGCAGTGTGTGGCTTGGTTTCTCACTTGCGGATTTAAAAAATACGTCCTATAAGAGTTAAAAACTTAAGGCCGGGCGCGGTGGCTCACGCCTGTAATCCCAGCACTTTGGGAGGCCGAGGCGGGTGGATCACGAGGTCAAGAGATCGAGACCATCCTGGTCAACATGGTGAAACCCCGTCTCTACTAAAAATACAAAAAATCAGCTGGGCATGGTGGCGCGTGCCTGTAATCCCAGCTACTCGGAGGCTGAGGCAGGAGAATTGCCTGAACCCGGGAGGCGGAGGCTGCGGTGAGCCGAGATCGCGCCATTGCACTCCAGCCTGGGCAACGAGAGCGAAGCTCCGCCGCAAAAAAAAAAAAAAAGTTAAGAACTTCAGTATAGCAAACGTCGCATCCCCACAGGGCGCAGGAGAGAAGCGCCTCCCGCTCTGACCGCGCTCGTGACGCCTCAGGTGTCCTCCCACGCACGTGGCGCTGTTTCGGCCCCACTCCCCACTCGCCCGCGTGCGCGTCACGCGCGCGTTTGCACGCAGGGTCCCCCTCACTCGCCTGCGGTCCCCGCGGCCTGAACGTCCTGCTGCTACCTCCGCAGTGCCGACCTTCACCTGCGCGCTGAAGGTCTGCGGAGGAGCCAGGCCCGGCGTCCGTTCTCCGAGCCGGCGCGCCGGTGCCTCCCTCCCTCCGGAGTCCGCTCCCGCCCAGGTGGAGGACGGTGCCTCCGGCCAGGTCCCCGGGCCCGCTTCCGCCGAGCGCCGGGCTTCCCCGGCCCACCCTGTCGCTGAGGACGCAGCCCCTGAGCACCTGCGCGTGACACCGGAGTCTCCGTCCGCCTCCCGGCCGCCGGGAGCCTTGGCCTCGTCCGCCGTCCCGCTTCGGGACCCGCCGCTCCCTCACGCCGCCGCCGCCGCCTCGGAGTCCCGCGCTCAGGGCTCGGCTCTCGTCCTTCCGGCGCCGTGACGGAAGCGGAAGTTCCCGCGCGCCGTCCACTTCCGGGCGGGCCTCCTGAGGCGGCGGCGGCGGCGGCGTAGAGGGTGAGGCAGCTGCGGGTCCCGACGGCCCTCGGCTCCCTGGGCGGTGGTCGCCGTCTTTCATCCTCGCTCTCCCAGTCTCTGGCTTCCGCGGGGGCGCGTAGGGGGAGGCCGGGCCGGGGCCCGGAGGGCGGGGAGGCCGTTCAGCACCCCGTGGTGTGTCCCGCTCGGGCGAGTGTCCTCGGCGCAGGTGTCCCCTCGGCGGAGGCGTCCCCCAGGCGCAGGTGTCCCCTCGGCGGAGGTGTCCCCTCGGCGGAGG